GAAACAACCTACGGGTCCATCAGTGGATGAATGGATAAAGGAAATGTGTGACACACACACACACACGTACGCACGCGCACGCACTCACGCACACACACAAACGACTATTGAGCCTTTAAAAAGAAGGAAATGCTGCCACTTGCAACAACACGGATGAACCTAGAGGTCACTATGCTAAGTGAAATAAGTCAGAGAAAGACAAATACTGCATGGTATCACCTATATGTGCAATTAAAAAAAAGAAGGTTGAACTAGAAACAGTAGAATGGTGATTGCCAGGGGCTGGGAAGTTGGGGAAATAGAGAGAGGTTGGTAAAAGGGTACAAACTTTCTGTTTTAAGATGAACAAGGTCTGAGGGTAACAACACTGTAGTGTATAACTGAAATTTGCTGAGACAGAACTTAAGTGTTCTCACTACTCCCCCCAAAATAAACATTTGAGGTGATGGATACATTAATTAGCTTGATGGGGGGAATCCTTTCATAATACATACTTCTATCAAATCATTATATTGTACACTTTAAACATCTAACAATTCTTTTTGTCAATTACACCTGAAGCTGAAAATAAGAAAAGAAAAAGAAAGTGAGAAACACATTATAAAACCACACGGACAAGGTGGTAGAACAGAATTAAGACAATAGGCTTTGGAGTCTGACCACCTGGGTTCAAATCTGACTCCAACCAACAATTAGCTGTGTGATCTCCAGCTAGTTACTGCCTCTCTATGCCTGTTTCCTTATCTGTTAAATGAGCATGAACCCCGTAACTACCTCATTGGGCTTTTTGAAGATTAAGTGAGATAATACAAAGTGCTCAAATGTCCTTGAGTTATTTGGTATTTGGGAAATACTCAACAGATGTTCATTCTTATTAATCATCTGTATTACATTGAACATATTTGGTATGAAAATATTGTTTCTAAGAGGCACCATTATGGAGTTTATTTTCTTCCTCATACCTTACTATATTTTCCAAATTGAAATCAGAGGTATATGATACTTCTATGAATAAAAAAAAAATTATCATGCGGGAACATCTGGAAGCCCTTGGCCCATTGCCCGGCATACAACAGTTCTTCCAAACACTTGCTGGAATGGCACAATAGGTTGTCCTCGACAGCTAATGCCAAATGAGTAATTTACATCCCAGACTGTTGAGAGCTGCCTGTCAATCCTTTACTGTTGGGTTTCCTTAGGGCAGTGCCTCACCCATATCCCACTCCGTCACCATCAGCAGATTCTTCCCCAAACCCCTCTCCCTGGAATAATTTCACCTTAGTCACCAGCCTGGTGGCCACCTCGCCAAGGGCTTGAGGTCACATCTTCAGTAAATGCTGGTGGGCTGACTGAATCTAATATGATAATCTGAAGAATAAAAACACTCTATAAAGTCAGCAGCTTATTGTTTTACACACAGTAAGTATTCCAATTTTCAAAGAACAATTTCTAACTTTTAATTATGCATCACCACTCCAGTTAAGCATTCTCAAGGCTTCCACTACATTAGGTCCTTACGGTAGGTTTTCCAACCCTGATAGAAGGCTCATATAACTCAGATTAAATTATGACTAAATGCAAAGAGCAACTTTTTAAAGTACTCAATTTGCACTTAGTTGTATTATAATATTCAGCTTCAAAAGTTCGTTTTGAGAGCAAAGACTAATGCAAGAACAGCCACTTCAAAACAGTATGTCTTGTGTTTTATTGTCCTTTTAGTTCTAATCCTTACCCGCAAAGCTTAAAAGATGGGAGAGTTCCAGTCTTAAGAGAATATGAATATACTCTAATAGTTTTTGAACACACCGATAGTTCACTGTAAAGATTATTGCTATAGATTAGCAATTCTCAAAGTGTGGTCTCCAGTCCAGCAGCCTCAAGATCAACTGGGAACTCGGAGAAATACAAATTCTCAGGTCCTGATCTACTGACTCAAAAACTCGAGAGATGGAGACCCAGAAATCTGAATCTGTTCCTCCTGGTGATTCTGATGCAGTCTCAAGTTTGAAAACTACTTTTCTAGAAACATGAACCCAACTAACAAGCATTTAACTGTTTAAGTGCCAGGACAAAATATGAAGCCAAAGCTTTGGTTGCCTGGAGAGTAAATTCCCCAGGGTAGAAAATAACCCTTACCCAAGCTTCATCTTGCTCAGGGGAGCCCGAAACTGTGGTGATCTGACAACTTCGTTGCTGAGCGAAGAGGGAAGAGAAGATATCCGAGAAGAAAAAAATCCATGGATCTAGAGCAGAGTGGAGGGCTTGAAATGTCATCACTCAAATTTCAAGCTGATGACAGAGGCAGCAGTCTCCTGATGGCATGAAGCAGCGTGCCGAAGTTAAGAATTTGATCTCTCCGATTTGTTGGAAAACTCATTTCGGAAAGTCACAACCTCTGTGTGCCATTAGCACAAATGCCATTTTTTAAAATCCCTGTATGAACGCTCTATGGCTTTAAAACCAGATGCTACTTACCGGTCACGAAATTTAAAAAAAAAAAAAAATTAGGCCATCAAAAATCCCATCTCTCCACCACTGTGAAGATTATAATTTACGTCAAACACTTCCCTACCACCTGGCAAATAGCACAAACTTAAAAAAAAAAAAGTTAATCATCATATTGATGAAATATTTTGTCCTCATTTTAAGTGCTAGAAACATCTAGTTAACTAAGGAAAGGCATTCCAAACCTAATCTCACTAGGATTTCAATTTTTACCCAGCGAATTTCAATTCCATGGAAGAGTTACATGGCAGAAACCCACATTCAAGGTGCAAAGACTGCGAGTGACCAAAAAAAAACCAAAAAAAAAAAAAAACCAAACCAACACAAAACAAAACAAACAAAAAATATTAAATCATCTAGGGATAATGACAATCATCTCCTAACATTTTTATAGGTGAAATTGCCTAGCACGGCTCTTGGCACATACAGGCGATCAACTTCTAGTTGAACCTGAATTTATAATCCATATTCAAGGCACAGGGTATACCAGGGTTTCAACAACCCCATGATTCCAGGCTCCTTGGGGACAGGAGTGTGACTCCTAATTTCACAGTTTAGGAAGAAATCGCTTTCCCACTCATATCCCCCAATTGTGAGACAGTTGCCACTCAGTCCTGCATCACGTACCTGCTCCTGATCCCCAAGACTCAGAGAAGCAGGCATGACTACTGTATCATTCCCATTTTATGTATAGGGAAGCCATTGTCTCAGCAGTTCCCCAAGATTCCAAACACCCTGAGCAGAGGAGTAGGACCAGCCCTCAAATGCCTCTTCCAGTACCTCACTAGCAAATGGAAGTGGTTTCATCAGATTTAAGATAGTCGATGAGCTGTAAGGGCTAGACCCTCAGAAAATCTCACTAGAGAAAGAATCTCAGAAGCATGGGAAACAAGAAAGCATGGAAGGAAAAAATGCACCAACAGAAAACAGGACTATTTCTTTAACCCAGAGTCCTTTCAAATATGCTCCCCCTCTTCTTGATGGGCAGGTACACAGCTGCACAGCAAGCAAGAGACCCCACTTTCCAGCCCCCCGCGTGACTAAGTCCCAGCCAATAGAAATAATGACCAGATTCTTCAGTCACCTGCTTGCAAAGACGTCCGTTTCCTTGGACTTTCACTTTCCCCACTGCTGGCTAGAAGTGGGGGCAAGGGAAGCAAGCATGAAAACACAGAGCTACACTGCTGGTCTGGGTCTCCAGGGGAGACACAAACCCCTGTGGTCTCTAAGCCACTGTACTGGTGGGTCTCTATTGTAGCAATGTAACTTCTCCCCTCCTATTACAGAAAATAAGGGAGGCAGGCAGGAAAGGAGAGACAACAGAAAATACTACATTAATAAGCCATCAGAGTCTACAGTATAGAAACGTACTTCATTATACAAGGAAGTGATGAGAGAGAAATCAGCCTTAGTAATTAGGGCTCTGCCATTCACTTAATGAGAAAATATTGAAAAAACTCTCTGCATAAACAAATATTATTTTGGCAAAAAGCAAACAAAATAATGTTAAATGTATAAAAACAAGAAGGTCTGGATAACAAATGAAAAATATTAAGACAAACTGCCAACAACTTGCTCGATCCTAAGAAAACAAGAACATTAAAACTTCCTTAGGTGCTATTTTTAAATAGCCAGGAAACGTGGTTTAAAAATTTTTATTTATTAACGTGGTTAATATTTTTATTAACCATTCTTTCCTAAAGTATAACAGTAAGTAATAGGTATATGAAGATATGAGCCATATAGCCTTTTCGGGAGGAAACATGCATGGTCAACTTATTAAAAGCCCAGGGTTACAGGTTTCATCTAATCAAATTAATAAAAGCTTGTCCACCAAGAGGAAGACCGGACTAATGAGAGATTGCAATGGCTAGAAGCTGCAGGGAAAGCCTTAATGAGAAGAATGGGGCTCAGTGCTGGGTGTGACTGGCTCAGGTCAACCCATATAATAGATTAAGTAAGTATTACCGAGACAAAACCAGTTGGCATCCCACCTTTCCTTTACAGGTTAATGAATTCCACAGCTTTGTGAACATCATCAATCTTAACACTGAACACAAGTCACCCACATGTCTTGAGATGTGAAGCTTGCCAAGGGAGACAATAAAAGATCTGAAGATGCTGGACTCTCCCAGAGAAGAGGATATTCTGTCTCCCAGGGAATCACTAAGAAAAAGCAGAGCTTTAATTTGTGACCTCCAATCACACGAGTATTTTTAAAAAAACACAAATCTTGATGAAGTTATTTTAGCTTCCCAAATAAAAGTGTCATGAGTAAACCTTAAAGTACTGACTATTTCTGGTCCTGAGTTCCCAGTAACTCAGAAGTGTTGATTAGGTACTAGTGCAGTGCGAGCCCACAACTGAATCTATTTGCAAATTCAAAAGTGCATGCTTAAACTTCCTCTGCACATGTGTGGACTTTGCTTCTAAAACCCACATGAGTGATCCCAAAGCTTTGATTAAAAACAACAAAGAAGGAAAAGGAAAACCACTTATTGGTACTAAAGCCTTTACTGTAATAAACCAAATATATTTACAATTTATACAAATGTTTAACCTTCAACAAAAATACAAAAAAACATTTCACAAGATGCAAAACCAGGAAACAAGTTCATTGGAGACACCACTGCTCTACCAAGCACAGACGGTGAGGAGAACTGCAAGGAACAGGAAGGTAATCTCGGCAGATCACACAGACAGGAAAGAAGAGGCTCTGCCTACTCCCCTTGGCCCCTCTGTCCACTCTGCCTTGGTGCTCCGTTTGGTCTAGGTAGATGGGTGACCTTCAGTTGATGGATTCGTCGCCTCCTCTTTGTAGACTCAAAGTAGTTTTGTGTCAAGGTTTGGAAACAGGTTTTCGTGGTTTGTTTTTTTTTTCTCCTTTTAAAGTTACAACTTTTCTATTTCTACAAATTCAAAACATTTTGGCCCGATTCAACTCTAAAAGTTAAACCACATCATGTTTTCAGTAGATGACTTCGTAGACTGTAGCCTTCTTGTCCCCTGAGCCAGTGACTATGTACTTATCATCCACAGAGATGTCACAGCTCAGCACGGACGAGGACTCTTTGGACTGGAAGAGAAAACAGTGGGAGCAGGTTTAATGTGAACAGAGCTGCTCAGGGGCCCTGCGCCTCCCCGAGGTGCCTTCACTGCCGGAGTCATGGAGAACGCCCTGATCAAACGGTCATTCTGGGTGAGGAGCACTGACTTACTTACCTGGAATATACTAGCTCCGTAGGGGGTCCGCCAAGCATTGAGGAGGTTGTCTTTGCCAGTACTTACAAACCACTTACCTAGAGTTAGCAAAGGAACACGGAGGTGAACACGATTAAAATTCCTCCTATACTCTTAGCAACCTGGACTTCAACAAACTCAGAGCATTTCTAATCACGAACTATCATGTCCAAGGGCTTGGCCTAGGACGGGAGGAGAGAGAGCAGGCTTTAAATCAGGGCTCCACTGTGAGCCATCTGTGGTCTTGGGTTTTGTCTCAGCAGCAGCAGGGACCGTGTCAGCCCCACGAGCCACCGGATACACTTGGGACAGCATCACACCCAGCACACAGTGGGTCCTCAAATACTGACTCGATAAAGCTGCTGTCCTTTTAGTCCATTTCCTCATGATGAAATTGGGACTGGGGAGGATTAAAGGATGAACTTAAGTAAAATGCCAGATACAATGGGCTCAGTGACTAACAGCTACTCATCTCTCCACCCATCTCGAGAACAAGGATCTGACCCCACGTGAACTTCTTCCCTCTTCATCTTCACCGCAGAGTATGTAACAGTGTGGGGCAAGCTGAGTGTGCCCTTCTCTGATCCTAGTTCCCTATGCTGCTCAGCCTGTAAGAACTTCCAACGTGGCTGCCCCAGGCTTCTATAAATCCTGCCCCCTTTCAGAGTGGTAACTAATTGCCCTCCACCTCTGCCCCAGACTTCCCCACTTAAGAAAAAAAAAAAAAATCTGTGTCAAAACCTTGTATTAGGCAACTACATCCCCTGCTGACTTTTCCCACATTAGGAAAACAGGCTGAAACGGACATCACTATGCTCTGAGGAACATATTAAGACAATAGAATTATTGCATCCAGTTGCTCAGAGAACATTTTTTCCAGACATGATCTCTACTATTTTTTTTAAGAAGTATTTTCCATTGAGGCCATTGGCGTCCTCCAGTTTCCTTTCAGCTCAACTCACCACAATAAGCAAATTTTAGGGACAGCACGCAGCTCTCATGGAGATGCAGCTGGTACTTGTCAGGCTTATTTACGTGAAGAACTTCCACATTGCTACTCTCCATGCCCACGGCCAGCCACTCCCCAGTTGGGCAGTATCCAAGGGAGAAGATCTGTAGGAAGCAGAACAGGCTCGCTAGTGATTTTGCCCAATAAACCGAGAAGTGAAATGGCAACCAGAAATGGGGGTAAAACAGTAAGAGAGGGGGATGTAATCAGCAAACTCCAGACTGCAGTATAGTCCACAGGACAAGAGACCCAACACAGACCAGCCAAGTGTTAAACATCTTTAGGAAAACAATCAGAAAGCTTGGAATACGTACATCACATGTGATGAAGTTATTTTTTTTTTAATTTTACGTATTTAAGTCATCTCTACCCCCAATGTGGGGCTTGAATTCATGACCCTGAGATCAAGAGCCGCATGCTCTACCAACTGTGCCAGCCAGGTGCCCCCAAGAAATTATTCTTAATAATAATGACATCTGTAAGTATGTTCTAATGTGGTCCTTGTCTTTTGCAGATACTTAACTGGGATGCTTGTGGATGAAATGATACAATTTACTTTAAAACGATCCAGTGCTTGGGCGCAGGTATGATACAGGAGACAGGTCATGGGTTCGCAACTGTAAAGCTCAGTGATGGGCAAGTGGAGTTTACTGGACACTTCTCTGTACTTCCATATATGCTAGGGCATTCTCTGCACCCATGTATATTTGAAATTTTCCATAAGAAGTTTTTTAAAAAAAAAGGCAGACCAAAAACAGTACCCTAGCTTATACTGAGAAAAGGGCTGGAATGAGGAAGACTCTAAGAAACTCCACAAAAGACTAACAGGACATGAAATTTAGTAATATGCATAGCTGTATGCAAGTAATGATCAAAAGAACAATTCCACCCACAGAAGACACTTAAAATGGCACCATCTTTCCCCAAAACAAGCCTAGGTTCAGACACTCGACATCTAAGGCATCTCCACGATCCACAAAGTTGCCATTTCATATCATTTCAAACCTCCATCAATCTAGTCAGCCACGAGTCCATTTTCCCAGGGATGAATAATAAAATGGGCATCCACAGAGACAGCACCGCATTTTTTTAAGCCCCCTAATGCAAGGGAAATGAACTAACTTTCAGAGCTGTTGTGATTTTTTCTCAACTCCTCATGATAACCCTGCCTATTTTTCAAGCTCTCTTTATATGTGAATCAAATAATCATCTCTCACTCCACGTTGGATGGTGGGAATATGTTCCAACAGGTCAAACTGTAGGCTCTTCACTGAGTAAGTTCCTTCAATGAACTCATACATAAATAAAACTAACAGGTCTTCACCGATAGGGTTTTAGAAACCACTCTAAGCATTTCAGGGACACTGTCTGTTTGTCTGTGGGGGTTGTTTTTGTTTGTTTTAAATCAGCGTCTCATAGTCAAGGCTGGTCTATCTGCCTTGTTCTTACTAAGGTGGGGTGTGAAGGAGGGAGAAGGATGCCACACGCAGACCACATCAGAGATTGCCGGGGGCAGGGAGTGGGGAGCCCGTCACCTGGGAGGTAAAGTCGTGCTGCTGCAGCTGCCGCCCCTCGCGCAGGTCCCAGGACCTGACCGTGTTGTCCAGGCCGCCCGTCCAGAGCTTGGT